ATTTGACAAATTCTTCGAATCGGCTCAGACTGATCATTTGCAGAGTCATCTGTGTAAACTACAGAGGAAGCCGGCCCATATGGACGCTCAACGGAACGCCTTCTCGCTCAGGGTCATCGGAGTGAAGAACGGACTCCCTGATGAGATGATCCTCTTTGATAATGTGGACACATCTAAACGCAAACCTGATTCTCATTTGCTGAGAAACTGTGACAGATATAATGAAAATAGTGTCAGTTTCAGCAGTTTGCAACTGGCTCACACTTATCGCTAATGTTAAGCCTATATTTGTAATATGCACTATTATTAAGGTTGAATTCTTTTGCAATTTTTGGATACGAATACGGAGCTCAATGGCAAAAGCCTTTTTCCCTTAATAAAGTGACTAAAATGACTTACTCATACACATTGGCGAAATACGATTTCATACTTCCTCCAGTTTTAATTTCTCGTTGGGTTCTCTACCCATGTTCTAATACTCAGTAACCTTAGCAGATACTTGAATAGAAGTACCTTGATTCTCCGGGAACTTCATGTTTAAAGCCAAATTCGCAGACCTGAACTATCCTACAATTGGCGTCTGTGCTATTGCTGAATCTTGTGTCCCTATCTACTGTAGAAATGTCATGTCTTTTGGAGCCGGACATAACATAAAAGTCCTTATTTATCTACCGCAAGGCGAAAATAATTTAGTTAAACTTAACTCTGACTCTTTATACAGGTATCTTTGAATCGGCATTTGTGTTCACTATCTCGGTTATTCTAGGGCGCTAGAAACGAAGTAGCGTGAATTTTGACGGAAAAGATGGATAGTGGTCCTGATGAATTGCGTTGGTTTGGCGTAAAGAAATTACTCTACTTCCGAATTCCCACAGCCTTCAGGGTTTCTAAAATATTTAAATTAATCGTGCTTTAGGAAGGACGATGCAGGAGTGTGTCAGAATTCGCAAAGTGCAATAGAATTGGCGAGGGCACTTACGGCATTGTTTGTAAGATGTGTGAAATATACTAATTTCTTTTAGACCGAGCTCGTGATACAATCACCAATGAGGTTGTTGCACTTAAAAAAGTTAGAATGGAAAATGAAAAAGATGGTTTGTGACGTTCGCTAAATAATATTTCTCTAGGAATTCCAATCAGTAGTTTGCGCGAAATTACTCTCTTATTGAGCATGAAGCATCCCAATATTGTTCAGCTCAAGGAGGTTGTAGTTGGGCGGAGTCTCGATAGGTAATTTTATCTGTCGGCCATCTTTTTACTAGCGAAAGAAACCGTATTTGCCTTTCGAGCGTGTTCGCCTAAATGTGTTCTGATCGCTGTCTTTTGTTTGATTTGCTTCAGCATATTTCTTTCGATGGAATATTGTGAGCAAGACCTTGCCAGTTTGCTGGACAACATGCCAAGTGCCTTTACTGAGGCTCAGGTACTAAAATGTTCCTTAC